GAAGCAGATATTGGTTGCACATCCTGCAGTTAAATGGTTTTCTGATAAGGATAGACCTAGTAACAGAGGAGATTCTTGTTCTGGTTGATTATTTTTGCCTCCCAACTGAAGAATTTCTTCTTTGTCCTGAAGCTATAGAAGCCGCTGCCACAGGCTGTGTTGTCACTGGGCAAAACATGTCACTGATTTTTTCTTCTGAAAATAGCTGGAATCAATTCCAAACATGAAAAGTAAAATAAGATTAGTTGACAGCCAAATCATCCCCAAAACTTCAAACAACAAGTTTTGTATTTAAAGCTCAAATATTGTACCATCACATTCAGAGCTGCTTTTTCTTTCAAATGATGCTGCTGCTGATGTTGATTTTTGTCTTACAAAATCAGCAGTAATTACAGCGGAATTCATCACCAATTGAGAAACTAACCTCCCTCCAACCTTATTATCATCAACCAATGCTCCAGCATTAGCATATGAAGATGAGCCTACTTTCTTGCCACTAGACTTATTCCCATATGCATCCCTTTGGGAAGGAACATCATCAAGACTTGTCGGAACGGTTTTAATTGGTATTTGTCTTGTGCCAGATACTTCAATGTGTTTCTTTTCCTTATGGGGCTTATCTAGGCATTGGAGATGACAACTGAAGGCATTTTCCACAGTGCTTCAGGTTACCACCAACACAGCACACAAAACAATAAAAGAGGCAGGTGAGATAGAATTTGCATATTAAAGAATAAGCATAGCAAGAGAAGCTAAACGCATGCCATTCACAATAATGTTTAAACTTCAGAATCATTTCTTCTACGGACCTGACTTGTGCTTCACTACTTCGGCTTCCCAATCTCAAGCTCAAATTTGCAGCTACATTTTTTCAATTTCGGGTTTCAGACTTTCAATCAATGGCCGTGTTTGAAAATTCGGCCTGGGCGGGCGGCTAGGCGGCTAGGGTGGCGCTAGGCAACTAGGCGGTGGCTAGGCGGGCCCTAGGCGGCTGGGCGGTGGCTAGGCGGTGGCTAGGCGGCTAGGTAGTAGCTAGGCGAGCGCCTAGGAGGGTTGGGTCTTTTTCCGGTGTCGAACCCGGAGGACGAAGCAATGACTGCGAGAGAAAGTTCCGTCCCCTGCGAGTGCAAGCTTCGTGTTCGTTTGAACATATTTAAAGCGTATAGCCGTTCGGCTATACTGTTAAAATATTCGAATATAATTACACAGTATGGCCGTGCGGCTGTACGTTTATAATTTCTATTTATAGAGTAGAGCCTTGCGGCTATAATGCTAAAATATTGTACTTAAAGCTGATCGGCTATACTGTTATAATTTCTATTTGTGCATGTATTAAAATAAATAAAAGGTGTGATACTAATAATAAGATCCAGGAAATAAATTATTCTTTCTTCATCTTTTTTTCCTGCCTGGATCAAAGAAAACTGTGGGTGTTCATCATTCTTAAAATGCTCCAGTCCTTCAAACTTGCGAGCAAAATCTTAGACTTATTTAATTATTATTTCTTTAGTGAATAATTAAATACTTTAATTAACTTAATAAATGGTAATTATTATTTTTATTTAATAAAATATTTAAATACTAATTATTCAGTAAGTAAATATTAATTAAAAAAGAGAAATCAAGATTATGCTATTCAAAGGGTATAGCCGGGCGGCTATACTTTTAAAATATTCTATTCAAAATATCATTTTTAAAATATTCTTTTTTATTCATTAAATAATATCTTAGCCTTGTTTAAATACTTTCATTAGTGATTACGTTTTAATTATTATTTCTTTAGTGATTAATTAGCATTAAATATTTTAGTAAAAATCCTAGAAATTTAGTTTTAGTACCCAAAATATTTTAGTATTCCCAAAAATGGATTTTAGCCTTGAAATTTAAATCCAAGTCACAACGTGATTCGATAATATCAACTGCTTGTTGGAGTTTGATTGAAATACATGAACTTGAGTCCCACATTGGAAAATAATAGAAAGTATCTACTCCTTAGTAGGCTTATGGTTAGGGTTCGAGGCTTAAGAAAGGTTTGGGAAAAATTTCGGAAGCTAGGATTTTTGGTTCGAGACTTGGATTTACCCAAACTAATTTTGTGAAAACAAAAATTTAAAACAAAGTCCAAAAAAATAATAATAATTAATTACTATTCATTAAGTAATTTATGAAATGGGTAAGATATTTAATTATTCACTAAATAAATAAATATTAAACAGTATAGCCGTGCGGCTATACGTTTAAAATTCTATTTAAAGAGTACAGCCGTGCAGCGATACTCTTGAAAGTGGCTGGACTCTTAAAATATCCTTTTTTAAAATTTTCTTTTTCATTCATTAAATAATATGTTAGCCTTTTTTAAATACTTTCATTAGTGATTATGTTTAAATTATTATTTCTTTAGTGAATAATTAGTATTAAATATTCTAATAAAAATCCTAGAAATTTAGTTTAATACACATTCCTAGACTCTAATCAAAGCAGGGCACATTCCTAGACTCTAATATTTGGATCAAATTCAAAGCTCCATTAAGAGAATATATTTATCTTACAAATACACTAGAAGCATTCACACTTACTATGTGCTGCTATGCTATGCATCAAGCATGTGTCTTACTCTAGCAAGAGAAGGAAGCTAGATCATCTTATTGTCTTACTCTTATCTATCATTGGCTTCTAATTCAAGTGGTCAATTATGAATCCAAAGGTTACAACATATTTTGGAGTTTTATTGCTCAAATCCAAAAGAAAATGAGTGAATCCTTAGATTTCCTATGGACCATTTGGAACTGAAGTTGAGGATAGCCGAAATAAGAAGGGAATTCAAATTCAGAAGGGAGAGAGAGAGGATGAGTACATAGTTATTTTGTCCTCGGGTGGAAGATGCTGATTCATTTGTTCTACATTACCAGAAAAGAGGAAAATATTTGCACTGAGCAATAGCAGGTAGACATTGTGAGACCGAAAATAAAGAGAGGAAATAATACACAATATTCCATTCATCGTTGAAATGTTGGAAATAAACAACATTCACAAGGATATAATAACAAAAGCAATATTTACAAGGATACAATTTTTGGTGGTAAAGGGTGGGATGTTTCAGACTGATATAGGTCATTGATAGGTTTAAGTCCTTCAAGATACAAAAATAATCGTACATTTTCAAAACAACGGTAACTAGTAACTACTACTCCATTAAGGACGGAGCTCAAAGCTTCTATTTCAATAACCATAACATCACACTAGTGTCTGGTTAAACTAATAGATAAACTGAGACTCCAGCAGCCATGTAGCAGAAGCTCCTGTATAGTGCCACTTCTATAATGATTGATAGTGACTGGAACAAAAGCAAGCCTGTAAGGCTATAGAACTAGAACTTGGTGTGGAAATATTGCACCATGTGGGGAGTTGGTTTATGGCTTGAAGGAGATGCTTCCAGGAAAAAAAAAGGAATCCTTCAATTTTCTGCCGGCTGCCCATTCCATGCTGCTTAAAACAGTATGAACAGCAATACAAGGAGCTGCAGCTTCCCTGACCTGCAAACAGAAATCAATTAGCCTCCTCAAAGTCAAAGCTTCATTAGAACAGATGTCATTTAATTGCTGTGATAAAGTCAGAAACGTTTCATTCTTTCAGCTTGATTCTCTCTCACCTTGTCTTGTGATGCCACTCTGCAGTCGGATTCTTCTCGGAGCATCTCCCATGGGTGCAGTGAAGACATGAATGGATATTGGTTGATATGGAGGTTGCGTGTTCTTCAATTTGTAGGATAGATATACTAGTTGAAGAAGACTACTGATCTGAGAAATATCTCTAGTTTGTGCTGATAAGAGGAAGAGGAAGTGACGTCTCCAAAAAAACTGCTTCTGAGAAAAGACGTCTTTACTTTGTCTGGACTCGTTGCATTCGGAGAAGGGTAGAGAGTTCTGGATGGCATTTCAACCATTTGCATTTGCTGGTCTTTCTTTGTACCAACAAGTTACACACGCATAAACGATTTTTGACAAATTGCCCAAAACCATTGCTGTGTGTCACAGACTAGTAACTTGTGTCGTTTGTCTTGGGCATAAATGTCCAAAACTACGAAGAAGTTATTAGAAAAATCTTCGAATTATTTGTAGGAGAATATCACTGTCTGTAATAATGTGAGTTGGAGACACATTCTTACAAGGGCTCATGGTTTATACTCTTTTGATATTCTCCCATAAATAAAATGTTGTGGTTCATTAACCATATTGGAGTGTTTTTCCAATAGCTAATGCAGAATATATTTTCCATGAAGTACTTCAGTGTTTGTCTCACTGTTGTACTCCACCATCCCCATCATAAACCCTTCCCAATGACTTTGGTAGGTTGGAGTCATTGAAAAGAGTATATGATGATGTTTTTGTTATTCAAGAAGATTGTGGGAAAAGAGCTGCAGTCTCTGGATATGGAGATTGCAACTCATTGCATCCAATAGAGTTATTGGCATGCAGAAGATTTCCCGGTTCTGGCTGCAATATTCTTGAAAGCCATGTGTAATCATCTAGCTTAAGTTGTAAGAATGATTCCGGATCTTCTTCTGGTTGAGAATAAACCTGGATTAAGAATCAAAAGAAAGCGTTAAGTTTCGTTGTTCTTCTTGTGCTCTATATTAAAAAGTTCATATATGAAAATTTCAAAGAGCATGTTCATTCTCACCTCTGAAGTCCCTTCATCTTTAGTTTGATTCTCGAAATTAGAGGCGGTGTTGCTAACTGGTTTACTGTCATAATTGGTTGTAATATTATTCTTATTTGGAAGAGAAGAATCATTATTCCCAATTGGAGATGGCACAGAAGCATTTCCCGGCTCAGGTGGCTCAGGTGGAGGAAAAGGTAAATCCAGATATTCTCCTGGCTGAGCACTAAGCTGTCAGATTAAGAATCACAAACAAGCAAGCGTTAAGTTTTGAAATACTTATTGTGCTCCCTACTAACAATTTTACATCAGAAATGTTCAAAAATTAGTTTCATTCTCACCTCTTGAATCATATCATCACAATCAGATGAAACACAGCCACCAGGTTCACCAGCATCATGATTGCCACTTCCAGGCAGATCATGTTCTAGCTCTTTGTCTGCCAGATGTCTGTCGGCCTCCGGAATCATATTATTTGCAGGAGCTTGATCAGCTTCAGAATTTGAGGCCATGTAGCCACCAATACCAGGATCAGCTGATTCATCACAGATTGAAGCATCCTTCAGCTTCTTATTATCAGACTCATAATGAGCTGACTTATTCTTCATGCGGCAGAGAACAAAGTCACTCAGCTGATTGGGAATAGAACCCGATTCAGTTTTAGTGAGATAATACTCCTGCATGACCCAGTCGGTCTTCGTCGACTTAGACACACGACCTTCATGGAATGTCAAGGTCCTCTTTTTGCAAGTGACCGATTTGGAGAGTTGTTGAGACTTGATTTCTCGTGGCTTGCCTGTGATTTTCCAGAATCCCTTCTTTGTGGCCCTGTTGTAACGAAGACTGTTGATGGATTTGTAATGAGGTCGGCTGAAGGAAAACCACATCCTAGGTTGATATGGAGAGTCTGGGAACAAGAGCTCTGCAAAACGCAACACAAAACAAGATATTGAAACCAACCCAATTCAAGTCTTGAAGTAATGAATAACAGAATTCAACTAAATTACTGAACAAAATTATGTACACATAGAAATTTTAAATTGGAAATGAGAAATGGGTAGTCAAGAGAAATTGAGATAGATAAATGGATTATGTCAGGTAAGTCCCAAGTACATAACAACAGTTCAACACTTCAAAAGAACAATTGATCAAGATTATGCATGCATGAAAATCATATCTTGGAAATGAGAAAATGGGTAGTGAAGCAAAAGTGAGGCAGATTAATGGATTTACCAGCTAAATCCGAAGGCTCGTACTTGCAGACATCAATTTCAGGGATGATGTGGCAGGCTTGGGAGGCCTTACCCTGCATCATCTGCTTCAAGAAGCGAAGAAAAAGTGAGACAGATTCATTATCAGGTAAATTCCAAGGCTTGTAGTCGATTTCAGGCATGGCTTGGGAGCTCTGGCCCTCCATCTTCTTCCTCAAAAGGTTCACCATTTCCTCCTCAGTGGGATGGAATCTGAATCCACGCAGCAAGGGAAGCAACCACTCTTCTGTTGTTGTGCTTCTCATCCCTCCTGCAACTGTTTTGGAAAATTGGAATCAGATTATCAAATGTTTTGGCTTCAGAGAAGATGCAGCAGAGCAGTGAAGTTGTATTTATATACAAACTCACCAACCCACGAGCCACAGCACTGTCACTGTGGTTTTTGACTTGTGTTTCATCCCAAAAGTCCTGGGCTTTCCAACCAAGGTCTCTTCCTGGACATACATGGCTTGATGAGTCATATGTGTGGATCCCACCCACTTCCTATCATCATGCATTTTTTCATCTTTTTCTTTTTTGTCCTTTTGAAAACAGCAACCAAAAACCCCTCTCGTAAGTTCAGCTTTTAGGATTCTTTATCATCGATTTGTGGGGAAAATAATATACTTTAGAAATTGAATATATTCTTTTTTTATTTGTTGGGTGAAACAGATGTAATTTAGTCAGCTATGAGCAGATGCAATTTAGCCTGCTTCAGTGCTGGCATGTACTACAAATATAAAGAAGAGAAAGTAATAAGCGAAATTCCATTCCACAATAAAAAGGTTGGGATACGCAACACAATACTCACAAAAATACAATTGAAAAGAAAAATGGATACAATATTTGGTGGTAGATGGGTGTAATACTAGTCTAATACATAGACTGAGATTCCAGCAGTCATGTAGCAGCTACTACAATGCACCACTTCCAGAATAGCAACTGCGGAACAAAAGCATTGCTATAAGGCTAGAACTACAACTTGGTTGCTATAAAGCTAGATCTACGGCTTCAGGGAGATGCTTCCGGGAAAATGAAAGAATGAACCCTTCCAATTCATCCCAGCTGCCCCTTCTATGCCTATTTCACAAGGCCTCTTTTGACATTCTTCTGTTTCCTCATAGTAGTAATAATCCTAGTTAGCAATAACTTTATTCAAGAACTTTGTGGGAAAAGAGTCATCAACTCCAAACTGGAGATTGAAGCTCGTTGCATTCAATATAGTTATTGTCATGCAAAACATCTCCCACTTCTCTGTTCATTAGTGGCTGCAGTGTGTAATCCTGTAGCTGCAGTGTGTAATCCTGTAGCTGAGGTGCATGAAAGATTAATTCCAGATTCTCTTCTTGTTGAGGACATTCCTGTATTAAGAATCATAAACAAGCAACCGGTTAAGTTTGGATATCTCCATATAAGAAGTTCATATAATAAAACGTTAAAAGAGTATGCTCATTCTCACCTCTGAAATCCTTTCATATGTAGTTTGATTTTCAAAATTAGCAATGGTGTTTCTAACTTGTCCATTGCCATCATATGCAGATTGCCATTGATCATTATAGACATTGGCATGTGGGACACTTCCCAGTTCGGTGTATATTGGTGACTGCAGTGTGGAGGAGCAGTAATCATGTGGCTGAGGTGGATGAAAGCGTGGATCCAGGTTTTTTTCTGGCTGAGCACATGGCTGCTGGATTAAGAATAAAAAACAAGCTAGCGTAAGTTAATGAATACTTCTTGTGCTCCATATTAGGAAGTTGGTATCAGAAATGCTCAAAAAGCATATGTTTATTCTCACCTCTCCAGCTTGATTTTCAAAATCAGAGGCATCAATATACATAAAACCTTCCAGTTCTGTATATGTTGGATCCAAGTTTCTTTCTTGCTGAGCATATAGCTGGATTAAGAAACATGTAGGTCAGGTCAATTTTTAGCCCGATATTAAGTTCATATCAGAAATATTCAAAAAGCAAGTTTATTCTCACCTCTCGTGACATATCATCTGCGACTTCATTTTCAAAATCAGACATGGTGAAACCATGCGGTTCACCTTCATCACAGGTTGAAATATCATTGTTATCAGTAACATGATACTCATTATCTCCAAATGGAGATTGCATTTCATTACAATCTTCATTAATGCCATTGGCTTGCAGAACATCTCCCAGCTCTATGCTTGCAGGTGATTGCAGTGTGGAGGGGCTGTGATCCTGTGACTAAAGCGCATGAAAGAGTGATGCATTAAGTTGCGACAAACTTCTTGTGTTCCTTAACAAAAATGTTTAAAGTATAGAGCATGCTCATTCTCACCTCTGGAGTCACAACAGCTGCAACTTGATCTTCACAATTAGACAAATTGCAGTTGCTAGGTTCACCCTCAGCACAGATTGAAGTATCCTTCTTATCTGGTTTTTTCTTCAAGCGACAGAGAACAAAATCCCTCTGCATAAGTTGGAGACGCCATATCAAAATCAAAAATACCTTCCTACATTAAGCTATGAACAACCAGCAATTGCAATTCTTGTAAGATCACACACATCAAAAGCATTACACAGCACAACCAAACAGAACCTGTTTGTGCATTTAAAACTCCACCACTATATTAAACATGAAACACTAATCCAATAGACAAAACTTGATGCTGCAGAATCCAAACACAGCACAAAGTAACAAACTTTGTAAATAATCAAAAGGAACCCATAAATAATCAAGCATGGACGAGAGAGAATGACCTGTGCCAGCTTAGGATTAGAATTAGCTTCATCTTCAATGAGATAATACTCGTGCATGACCCAGTTGGTCTTCTTCGATTTAGGCACACGACCTTCATAGAAGGTCAAGGTCCTCTTCCTCCCAATGACAACTTTGGACCCTCGAGCCCTGATCACACGTTCCTTGCCTGTGATTTTCCAGTGGCCTTTCCGCGTGGCCCTGTTGGAGCGATTGCTGTTCATGTATTTGTAATCCCTTAGGCTGAAGAAGAACCACTCCATATCATGATATGGAGAGTCTGGCTCTGTGAACAAGAGCCCTGCAAATGCAACACAAAGCAAAATATCAAAATTTGAAACCAACCCAAGAACTAAAAACAGAACAAGATTACTTTTTTCCTTGCGTTTTTGTATTTACATAACAATTGAAACCAACCCAGTTCTTCAATTATTGAAACAGAACAAGATTGATTGTATATACAAAACCATGCATCATTAATGAGAAATTGGTAGTTAAGAAACTAAGACTGAGATAGATTAAGGGATTATTACCAGGTAAATCCCAAGGCTCGTGCTTGCAGAAAGCAATTTCAGGGATGATGTGGTTAACTTTAAAATCTTTATCCTGTTTCTTCTTCCTCAAGTAGTGCACCAGTTCCTCTTCAGTGGGATGGAATCTGAACCCTACAGGCACTGAAACCCCTCCTGTTGTTTTTCTGTTGCACTTGCTGCCCATCTCTCTCTCGCTCTCCCTCTCTCTTTCTCTCTCTCCCTCTCTCTGTCTAAGCAAGCGAGAAGAAGCTGCAATGGCATCAGCAGAGTGAAGTTGTATTTAATAAACAAACTCACTCACACTCTCACCGCTGTTTGATCCCCAATCCCTCCCAGGGAATTTATAAGTCCTCAACTTACTAAACAAGTTTTTGCTGACATGGCACCCTTTTTTTTCTTTTTCTTTTTTGGGTGTTTTTCATCAACAACCCCTCTCGGAAGTTTAGCTTTTTGAATACTTCACATTTCTGTTCTTGAGTAAGTTACATGTCCTTTTCCTACATTGAATTCCACATCGAAGAACAAACAAAGTAAGAATAGTATTGTCTACATTGTTACACGTGGACAATATTTGAAGAATAAATTTAAAGGGCAATTACATTTTGCAGTAAACAAAATGGAGTATTCTAAGGTTCACCCAAAAACCTTCATACAATTCCAGATTCTTCTAAATACAAAGACCCCTACTTTAATTCTAGATTCTTCTATCGACAAAAACCCCAAAAAAAAAAAAAATTAAACAAACAAGAAAGATTTAAACAATCTTGGCACTGCCAACTGATAATGGTTTTGATTTTAATATGTGATTCTTTAGGGTATTTAGATAATTTAAAAAAAATATTTATGAGTTTGTGATTGGAGAAATGGTGATATCCAATAGGCTTTTGAAACTTTGGCCCCAAGTAGTTTTCCATGAACTTGTTCACCAAGTAGTCTTCTTCGACCCCACCTTCGATTCTCTTCACCAAAAGTACCATCATTCACATTCGTTTTTTTATTCTTTCTGTTATATGTTCCCCACTAGCCAATTGCCATTGTACCTCTTCTAGTAAATCATATTCTCTAACGTTTAATAATTGGTGACATCCAAAAGTTACGATGAATTTCACCGCAAATGTGTAATTTTATAAATGGGTGATTCCGCACCATTATACACATTATTAATTACATCGCAATCACTCTATTAAAGACGGTTGAAAATATAATCAAACCGTGTCCATGAAGCCTTACTTTTTTTCCTTATGCACCAATTTTCAATGGTAATGCAGCTCTTATTCAAACCATTTGGACCACTAAAAAGGATGGAGCGCAACCCTTGGAAGGATCTAGAATCTTATATATGTTTATGTAGGTACCAGCTCTCCAAGAATTCTACAGTGAGAAACTTATATATGGCCCTTAAGTGAGGCTATATCTCTTAACTGTTGGATCAAATTAGTTAGCCTAATCCAACGGTTAAGAGATAAAACCTCACTTAAGAGCCATATATAAGGCCCTCACTATAGAATGATTCACCAACTACCAAGCCAAGATTTTGAGATGGGTTGTGGGCCTTTTATCCAGTACAATAGGATACCAAGGACCCAATTAGAGCCCACATATAACGCTTATTTGGCTTATGTTTCTTTTGCTTTGTGGCTGGGATTCTAGTGAGGGCCTTATATATGGTTCTTATGTGAGGTCATATCTCTTAACCGTTCGATCAGGCTAACTAATTTGATCAAATGGCTAATCAATTTGATCCAACAGTTAAGATATAGAGTCTCACCTAAGGGCCATATATAAGGCCCTCACTATAGAATTCTTATTGTTGTTGGATGGGCACGAGTCATTCTATAGTAAGGGCCTTATCTAAGGCCTTTAGATGAGGCCCAATCCCTTAACTATTGGATCAAATTGTCTATCTCTTAATTGTTATATCAAATAAACCAATTTGATCCAACGATTAAAAGATAAGGCCTCATCTAAGGACCTTAGATATGGCCCTCACTATAGAATTCTACGGATGGGCACCCTTCCATTTCTTTTTGTGGTTTGGGCCCTTGTTCTGTGCTTATATATGATCCTTGTTTGAAGTAATGCACATTACGCACTGATGGGTTTAGTTTCCAACCAAAAAAAGAAAAAAGAACAGTACAATAGGAAGAGAAGGAACCTAGATCATCTTATTGTCTTATCTATCATTGTCTTGTAATCCAAAGGTTATATATTTGAAGTTTTCTTGTTAAAACCCAAAGGAAAATGAGTGAAGATTTTCATGCACCATTTGGGATTGAAGTTAAGGATTGCCAAAATAAGAAGAGAACATTGTGGGTACAAATATAAGGAACATTGTGGCATACACAATACAATACTCACAAGGACAGTGTTGGAAAGAAAAATGGATACAACATTTGTTTTAATACTAATACATATGCATAGACTGAGATTCCAGCAGTCATGTAGAGCAGCTCTTACAATGCGCCAATTCCAGAATAGCAACTGCAGAACAAAAGCATTGCTCTAAGGCTAGAGGACTTCGATCTACAGCTTCAGGGAAAATGAAAGAATGAGTCCTCCCAATTCATCCCAGCTGCCCCTTCTATGCCTATTTCACAAGGCCTCATTTGACATTCTTCTCTGTTTTCATGGAAGTAATAATTCTAGTTAACAATAACTTTATTCAAGAACTTTCTGGGATTAAAACTCAATGCATTCAATGTAGTTATAGTCATGCAAAACATTTCCCACTTACGTGTTCATTAGCAGCTGCGATGTGTAATCCGCTAGCTGAGATGCAGATAAGATTGATCTCAGATTCTCTTTTGGCTGAGGACATTCCTATATTAAGAATTATAAACAAGTAAGCGGTTAAGTTTGGATAAATCCATAATAAGAAGTTTATATAACAAAATGTTCAAAAGAGTATGCTCATTCTACCTCCGAAATCCTTTCATTTGTAGTTTGATTTTCAAAATTAGCATATGTAGATTGCCATTCATTATTATAGACATCAACATGAGGGACGACGCTTCCCAGTTCGCTGTATATTGGTGACGGCAGTGTGAAAGAGTGGTAATCCTGTGCCTGCTGAATACATGGCTGCTGGATTAAGAATCACAGACAAGCAAGCGTAAGTTAATGTATACTTCTTGTACTCCATACTAAGAAGTTAGTATCATAAATGCCAAGAAGTATATATGTTTGGGCTCACCTCAAGAACCATATTATTTGCAGTTTGATTTCCAAAATCAGAGGCATCAATATACATAAAATCTTCTAGATTCCTGAATGTTGGTGACTGAGGCGTGAGCATATAGCTGTTTTTTTCTTGCTGCGCATATAGCTGGATTAAGAACATGTAGATCAAGTTTCGAGATAATATTTTGCCTTATATTGAGTTCCTATCAAAACATCAAAAAGCATGTTTATACTCACCTCTTGAGACATATCATATGCGACTTCATTTTCGATATTAGTAACGGTGAAGCCATGGGGTTCACCTTCATCACAGGTTGAAATATCATTCTTATCGGTAACTGAGTAGTCATTATCTCCAAATGGTGATTGCATATCATTACAATCTTCATTAAGGCCATTAGCTTGCAGAACATCTCCCAGCTCTATCCATGCTGGTGATTGCAGTGTGGAGGGGCTGTGATCCTGTGACTAAAGTGCACAAAAGAGTGAAGCATTAAGATCCGCAAAATTCTTGTGTTTCATAAGAAAAATGTTCAAAAGAAAAAGAGCACGCTCATTCTCACCTCTGGAGTCACATCAGCTGCAGCTTGATCTTCACAATTACACAAATTGTAGCTGCTAGGTTCACCTTCAGCAAAGACTAAAGTATCCTTCTTATCAGGGTTTTTTTTCAATCGACAGACAACAAAATCCCTCTGCATAAGTTGGAGACCCTATATCAAAATCATTAGTACCTTCCCACATTGAGCTATCAACTACCATCAATTTCAATTCTATTATAAGAGAACACACATCAAAATCATTACACAACCTTTTTGTGCATTTAAAACTCCACCACTATGATAAACATGAAACACTAATCCAATAGACAAAACTTGATGCTGCATAATCCTAACACAGCACCAAGTAACAAACTTGGTAAATAATCAAGCATGGATGAAAGAGAATGACCTCGGCCAGCTGAGGATCAGGACTGGCTTCACTTTCAAAGAGACTATATTCGTGCATGACCCAGTTGGTCTTCTTCGATTTCGGCACACAACGTTCATAGAAGGTCATGGTCCTCTTCCTCCCAATGACAGCGTTGGACCCTCGAGCCCTGATCATACGTTCCTTGCCAGTGATTTTCCAGGAGCCATGCGGTGTGGCCCTGTTGGAGCGATTGCTGTTAATGTACTTATAATCCCTTCGGCTGAAGAAGAACCACTCCATATCATGATATGGAGAGTCTTGCTCTGTGAACAAGAGCCCTGGAAATGCAACACAAAGCAAAATATCAAAATTTGAAACCAACCCAATTCATGTCTTGAAGTACCAAGAACTACAAACAGAACAAGATAGCTTAAGGGATTATTACCAGGTATTTCCCAAGGGTCGTACTTGCAGGTATCAATCTCGGGTATGTGGTTAACGTTAAAATCCCTGTCCTGTCTCTTGTTCTTCAAATAATCCAACAGTTCCTCTTCGGTGGGATGGAATCTGAACCCTAGTGGCACTGGAACCCCTCCTGTTGTTTTTCTGTAGCACTTGCTTCCCATCTCTCTCTCTCTCTCTCTCTCTCTCTCTAGATATAATAAGCAATCAAGAAGAAGCTGCAATGGCATCAGCAGAGTGAGGTTGTATTTTATAGACAAACTCAGTCACACTGTCACTGCTGTTTGATCACGCAATCTCTCCAAGGAATTAAGTCCTGAACTTCTTAAACAAGTGTTGCTGACTCGACACGCGTTTTTTTTTCTTTTTGTTTTTTCATCAACCGCTCTTCGAAGTTCAACTCTAAGAATAGTGTACATTTTGGAATCTCCATCGAATCAAAATCTGTTAGAGGTCCTTTTCCTACAGTGAATTCCACGTCAAAATTTAAACAGAATAATTACAATTTAAGGAGGTAATTACAATTTACAACCATGGTCTCCATCTCTTAAAAATTATCAAAAACAACTCTTATTATGATTTCTTACATCATTGGATCCTCTGTTAGTTTTACCGTCAAGTTAACTCTTGACATATTTTTTTTCCTTACATGAATGCCATATATCGTAGACATTAAACTTCAACTTGGTGCGAACATTATTCCATAGAGGACTTCGATCTACGGCTTCAGGGGAAAATGAAAGAATGAGAGCCCTCCCAATTCATCCCAGCTGCCCCTTCTATGCCTATTTCACAAGGCCTCATTTGACATTCTTCTCTGTTTTCATGGAAGTAATAATTCTAGTTAACAATAACTTTATTCAAGAACTTTCTGGGATTAAAACTCAATGCATTCAATGTAGTTATAGTCATGCAAAACATTTCCCACTTACGTGTTCATTAGCAGCTGCGATGTGTAATCCGCTAGCTGAGATGCAGATAAGATTGATCTCAGATTCTCTTTTGGCTGAGGACATTCCTATATTAAGAATTATAAACAAGTAAGCGGTTAAGTTTGGATAAATCCATAATAAGAAGTTTATATAACAAAATGTTCAAAAGAGTATGCTCATTCTACCTCCGAAATCCTTTCATTTGTAGTTTGATTTTCAAAATTAGCATATTTAGATTGCCATTCATTATTATAGATATCAACATGAGGGACGACGCTTCCCAGTTCGCTGTATATTGGTGACGGCAGTGTGAAAGAGTGGTAATCCTGTGCCTGCTGAATACATGGCTGCTGGATTAAGAATCACAGACAAGCAAGCGTAAGTTAATGTATACTTCTTGTACTCCATACTATACTAAGAAGTTAGTATCATAAATGCCAAGAAGTATGTTTGGGTTCACCTCTAGAACCAAATTATTTGCAGTTTGATTTCCAAAATCAGAGGCATCAATATACATAAAATCTTCTAGATTCCTGAATGTTGGTGACTGAGGCGTGAGCATATAGCTGTTTTTTTCTTGCTGCGCATATAGCTGGATTAAGAACATGTAGATCAAGTTTCGAGATAATATTTTGCCTTATATTGAGTTCCTATCAAAACATCAAAAAGCATGTTTATACTCACCTCTTGAGACATATCATATGCGACTTCATTTTCGATATTAGTAACGGTGAAGCCATGGGGTTCACCTTCATCACAGGTTGAAATATCATTCTTATCGGTAACTGAGTAGTCATTATCTCCAAATGGTGATTGCATATCATTACAATCTTCATTAAGGCCATTAGCTTGCAGAACATCTCCCAGCTCTATCCATGCTGGTGATTGCAGTGTGGAGGGGCTGTGATCCTGTGACTAAAGTGCACAAAAGAGTGAAGCATTAAGATCCGCAAAATTCTTGTGTTTCATAAGAAAAATGTTCAAAAGAAAAAGAGCACGCTCATTCTCACCTCTGGAGTCACATCAGCTGCAGCTTGATCTTCACAATTACACAAATTGTAGCTGCTAGGTTCACCTTCAGCAAAGACTAAAGTATCCTTCTTATCGGGGTTTTTTTTCAATCGACAGACAACAAAATCCCTCTGCATAAGTTGGAGACCCTATATCAAAATCATTAGTACCTTCCCACATTGAGCTATCAACTACCATCAATTTCAATTCTATTATAAGAGAACACACATCAAAATCATTACACAACCTTTTTGTGCATTTAAAACTCCACCACTATGATAAACATGAAACACTAATCCAATAGACAAAACTTGATGCTGCATAATCCTAACACAGCACCAAGTAACAAACTTGGTAAATAATCAAGCATGGATGAAAGAGAATGACCTCGGCCAGCTGAGGATCAGGACTGGCTTCACTTTCAAAGAGACTATATTCGTGCATGACCCAGTTGGTCTTCTTCGATTTCGGCACACAACGTTCATAGAAGGTCATGGTCCTCTTCCTCCCAATGACAGCGTTGGACCCTCGAGCCCTGATCATACGTTCCTTGCCAGTGATTTTCCAGGAGCCATGCGGTGTGGCCCTGTTGGAGCGATTGCTGTTAATGTACTTATAATCCCTTCGGCTGAAGAAGAACCACTCCATATCATGATATGGAGAGTCTTGCTCTGTGAACAAGAGCCCTGGAAATGCAACACAAAGCAAAATATCAAAATTTGAAACCAACCCAATTCATGTCTTGAAGTACCAAGAACTACAAACAGAACAAGATAGCTTAAGGGATTATTACCAGGTATTTCCCAAGGGTCGTACTTGCAGGTATCAATCTCGGGTATGTGGTTAACGTTAAAATCCCTGTCCTGTCTCTTGTTCTTCAAATAATCCAACAGTTCCTCTTCGGTGGGATGGAATCTGAACCCTAGTGGCACTGGAACCCCTCCTGTTGTTTTTCTGTAGCACTTGCTTCCCATCTCTCTCTCTCTCTCTCTCTCTCTCTCTAGATATAATAAGCAATCAAGAAGAAGCTGCAATGGCATCAGCAGAGTGAGGTTGTATTTTATAGACAAACTCAGTCACACTGTCACTGCTGTTTGATCACGCAATCTCTCCAAGGAATTAAGTCCTGAACTTCTTAAACAAGTGTTGCTGACTCGACACGCGTTTTTTTTTCTTTTTGTTTTTTCATCAACCGCTCTTCGAAGTTCAACTCTAAGAATAGTGTACATTTTGGAATCTCCATCGAATCAAAATCTGTTAGAGGTCCTTTTCCTACAGTGAATTCCACGTCAAAATTTAAACAGAATAATTACAATTTAAGGAGGTAATTACAATTTACAACCATGGTCTCCATCTCTTAAAAATTATCAAAAACAACTCTTATTATGATTTCTTACATAAAATTTAAACAGAATAAGAGTAAATTTAAGGAGGCAATTACAATTTACAACCGTGGTCTCCATCTCTTAAAAATTGTCAAAAACAACTCTTATTATGATTTCTTACATCATTGATTCCTCTGTCAGTTTTACCGTCAAGTTAACTTTTGACATATTTTTTTTTCCTTAGATGAACGCCATATATCGTAGAAATTATAAATAAAAATCGCGTACGTAGCATCAATCTGCCATCTTTATTATTAAAAAAAATAAGGTATAAGAGTGCTTGAAAAGAAATTAAAATCGTATTTAGCATCGATAGTTTTTATTTTTATTTTTTAAGAAATGGGCTACTTGATGTTAGCACTCCTAACCAAACTTAACTCTAGCTGCACTGAAACAAGAGTACACAAATGGGGTTTTCACAGTTCCAGACTGTTTACTTCTAGATTCTTCTAAATACAAATACACATGCTTACATACATTTAAAGTGCAAAAAGTACATTTTCCTAACCAACCAAAATAGGCAGAAATGTGGAAAAGCATGAAACTACAAAACAAACATTTGACTATGGAAATGTCCTCTCCGTTTCCTCACCTTTTCCAGATTCCATTGGGATTGGCTGATCCTCATCTTGAATCTTGATCCATCTTTGATCAGTTTTTTGCATTTCAAGTACAAATTTGGAGTCTGCTCTGTTCCATCCATCCTATAAACAAAAATGTTAAAAACTAAAAAGAATTTTGGCACTGCCAACTGATAATGATTTTGATTTTGATGTGATTGTGTGATTGTGTGTTTGTGGGTGAGGGATCCGTCTTTTTCCTCTCTCTCTCTCTCTCTCTCTCTCTCTCTCTCAGGCAGATATGTGGAAAAGCATAAAACTACAAAACAAACATTTGACTATGGAAATGTCCTCTCCATTTCCTCACCTTTTCCAGATTCCATTGGGATTGGCTGATCTTCATCTTGAATCTTGATCCATCTTTGATCAGTTTTTTGCATTTCAAGTAATAATTTGGAGTCTGCTCTGTTCCATCCATCCTATAAACAAAAATCCAAAAAAATAAAAAGAATTTTGGCACTGCCAACTGATAATGGTTTTGATTTTGATGTGATTGTGTGTTTGTGGGTGAGGGATCCATCTTTTTCCTCTCTCTCTCTCTATTTATGAAAAATATTTCAGAATTTTGTGATTGGAGAATGGTGATGTCCAATAGGCTTTTAAGACTTTCTCCCCAAGTAATCTTTCATGAACTTCCTCACCAGGTAGTCTTCTTCAAATTATCTGACCAAATAAAGTACCATCATTCACATTTGTTTCTTTCTTTTCCCTCTTTATATATTCCCCACTTGCCAGTTGCTACTGTACGTTTCTAATAAATCAAATCATCTAACTTTTATTTTATTTTTTGAGAGAATCATATATGTACTTCAACGTAATTAATAAAGATAGGACCACACTGTGAATTTCACAATAAAAGTGTAATTCATAAATGGGGTGATTCAAAACTGTATGATATGGATTATATTATTGATCACATCAAAACTGTTATGTTAAAGACAGTTTATAATATAATTAAACCTTGTTATAAAACTAAAGAGATTGAGGAGAGAATTTAGAGAATTCAAATAGTGATAGAAATATTCTTATGATATTTTCATTGAGTCTTTCTCTGTATCTCTCACCATACAAACGAGAATGAAGCCATAGTTTTATATGAAAAGCTTTGGCTAACTATTCGGTAAATAGAAGACTCGTGAAGGTCTCTCGGCTCCCCGTGGATGTGCAGTGTATCTTCAGAATTTTCTTCAATCAATTAAGTAGTGGACCCTATCATTTTGGGCTCCACATTCTTGACTTTACAAC